AAACACCACTAGGCAAAGAAGAGATTAGTTCATTAGCAAATAAGGCCTCCTTATACATGAGTAAAATCATCGGCCGGTTCGAAAGCATAGCTTTCTTAATCTCTCTAGCTCTCGTGAAAAGAAGAGTGTTTGTCCTCTCGGGATTTCTCTCACAGGCTTTTTTTCTCTTTTTTTTTTTTTTTTGAAACATCCCGGACTTCTAGGACGTTGAAGTTGGCGAGTGACATACCTTTTTGGTATATTCGCCCCACAACTTAGACCCGAGCCATCGGTTTCTAATGCACTCATGTCCTCGAATGATTTTCATTAACGAGCTAATGACAGCGGAGTGTCGGGATGCTACTTTATTTATTCGGGCTTTCTTGTATGCTATGGGCTTACTAAACTTAGAGATAGAAGAATGGTTCTTGGGGAGACGTTTGCGCTTGGTTCGTAGCTTCTAATCCGCCTAGACCTTATGAGGTAAATCATCCCACATAACAATCGCTCGTTCTAGGACTAGATTGACTATTTCTGCTTCACACGACAATCCATTCAGCTACTAAGGGGATCCCAAGTCCGGTTTCTCAAACCTTTCAAAACAGCCTCGCTCTACTCCTCCCACATCATCATTTGACCAACCTCTTATGCAAATGAGTGTATGCATGCCTATACCTATATGAACTTGTGCAATATGCAACCTAAGTAGAGACCTATCGTGAGACTCAATATACAAATGCACGTAACCCTGATTGGATCTATGATGAAGATGCACATTTTTTTTTTGGATGAGAATGCAATTATGTAATGCTCACAAGGCTCAAAACTTTGTTAGTGTGTCCCCCCCAGACTTGATTCAGGCACCGTCCCCGGTGTCGAGTCGATGTCACACGGATGAAGAAAAGATGAAAAGCGGAAGGGTTTTAGATGTTGAACCTGATTGGAGTGTAGAACCCATCCATAGAAAGCTTCTCATCCTTTGAGCGTCTTGCAAGAGCCCTATGAAATGCAAAAAGAAAAATACAAATGCAATGCTAGGGGTGTAATGTTAGCGCAAATGAGAGTCAGGAAAATGATGAGATATATGAGTTGGTGAAGCTCAGAAATAATGGGAGGGCCGCCCTAAAATGAGGGTAGGGTGCCCGTTTTTGTCTGAGAAACAGTACTCGACAATGGAGGCGCAAATCCCCAAAACATTTCGAGATTCGAGTTCTAGGGGGTGATATAGGCTCGAAAATTGCATCTCTAAGCTAACCCAAACAGTCTAGAGTTCGAAAAATCCGCCAAGGGAGAACTATGAGATGAGAAATAGAGAGATTGAAGAGGAGGAGAGTGTTACCTTGCAGCCATTGAAGGAATGGATAGGAGAGAATGAGAGAGATGGCTGCAAACGGTGAGGATTTGGTTGCTGAAGGACTTGGAAAAGACGAGGTGCGAGATCGACGCCGGAGAGAGGTGTAGAGATGAGATTCGGCGGTTGGATGACCGACAACGACGAATCGGAGGTTAGGTCCTCTCTCTCCATGTCCTCTCTCTCAACTTGTGGTGTTTAGAAGGTTAGGGTTTGATTTGGGGATAAATGAAAGTTCTGAAACCCTAGAATACGCGATAGAACGGTCGCCCTAAAATCACGAGCGGTAGCTCGTTTTTGTTTGTTTTTCGAAAAAGGCGGTCGCTCTATAATGTAGGGAGGGCGCCCTAAATTTTGAAAACAGTCATTTTGCTCAAAAATATCAGGAGGGTAGCCCGAAAATGAGAGCTGTTAGCCCGAAAATGAACTGATTCACAAAATTGCAAAAATTGAGCGATTGTTAGAGAAAAACAGAAGGGTTCGCCTGGTTCTTCTAAGAAAGAGTTGGGGTAGACAAAAATAATGTAGGGAGGGCGCCCTAAATTTTGAAAACAGTCATTTTGCTCAAAAATATCAGGAGGGTAGCCCGAAAATGAGAGCTGTTAGCCCGAAAATGAACTGATTCACAAAATTGCAAAAATTGAGCGATTGTTAGAGAAAAACAGAAGGGTTCGCCTGGTTCTTCTAAGAAAGAGTTGGGGTAGACAAAAAGGGTCAAAATGTTGGGGGTTTTTGAATTTTTTTTTTTTTGATATCTAAAATGGAAAAAGGTATTTACAACCTCGGGATGCCCCCGAGAGCGCTGTTTTTCGGTCTCAGCTAGACCAGAGCACTTTTCACTCGTGAAACGGAGTCACGAGGGCTAAGGTGCCTCTCGGTCCGAGTTCATTTCCTGAGTTGTACAGTTTAATTCTCTGAGCATTAACCAAGAAAGAACTTCCCTTTCCATCATCGAGCTCGATAGCACCATGAGTAGTAACCCTCTTAACTTTAAAAGGACCAGACCAACGAGATTTTAACTTACCTGGAAAGAGGCGCAACCGCGAGTTGAAAAGTAGGACTTGATCATCCTCCTTGAAAGTGCGGTGGAGGATATGTCTGTCATGCCATTTTTTTGCTCTCTCCTTATAAATCCTTGCATTCTCGTAAGCATCTAGCCGAATTTCCTCTAAATGGTGTAGCTCTAGAACCCGTTTCTCCGCTGCCGTCTTCCAATCGTAGTTCAAAGCCTTGATGGCCCAGTAAGCCTTGTGTTCCAATTCCACGGGTAAGTGACACGCTTTGCCGTACACAAGCTGAAAAGGGGTCATTCCAATCGGGGTCTTGAAGGCAGTCCTGTATGTCCAAACCGCATCCTCTAGCTTCAATGACCAATTCTTTCTTGACTTAGCAACCGTCTTCTCAAGTATAGACTTGATCTCTCTGTTTGATACTTCCACTTGTCCACTCGTTTGCGGATGATAAGCGGTGGCAATCCTATGGTGGACACCATACTTTGTCAAAAGGGTTTGGATTATCCTATTAACAAAGTGTGCACCCCCATCGCTTATCACTACTCTTGGCACCCCAAATCTTGGAAATATTGTCCGTTTGAACATCCTTGTCACAGTGCTAGAGTCGTTCTTCGGACTTGCTAATACCTCAACCCATTTCGTCACGTAGTCCACAGCCACAAGGATATATAAGTTCCCGCAAGATGAGGGAAACGGTCCCATGAAATCAATACCCCACACATCAAACGGCTCTACTTCAAGTATGTAATGTTGCGGCATCTCATTTCGGCGTGAAATATTCCCTGTCCTTTGGCACGCGTCGCAAAAACTCACAAACCGGTGAACATCCTTGAATAAGGTTGGCCAATAGAAACCCGCTTGCAAAATCTTTGCAGCTGTCTTGGCCGATGCGAAATGGCCTGCATAATCCGATGCGTGGCAATGGTGAATCACTTGTTGTACCTCCTCTTCGGGTATGCATCTTCTGTACAATCCATCTTTTCCCCGTTTGAAGAGGAAAGGTTCATCCCAAAAGTATTCCCGAACATCATGAAGAAACTTTTTCTTTCCGCTGTAGCTCAACTCCGGGGGAATCACCTTGGCAACCAAATAATTGACTAAATCTGCGTACCAAGGGGTATCGGAACTAACCTCCAAAGCTAGAACTTGTTCCTCTCGCAGTGAGTCATCGATGGGCAA